GCAATAAGTGTTGATCTTGAGGAAGATCTGGAAATGCAGAAAATATAACCCCTCATCACTGCACCCTGGGATTTTTATTTTGTTTTGGGGAGTGACAGGTGGAGGTACTAGGTAACTATTCCTGTCTCTGTGCTCAGGAGTCATTCTAGACTCCTAGAAGGGGACCGGAAGGGCCCAGGGATGGAACTTGGGTCTCTCTCATGCAAAGCACATGCCCCAGCCCTTCGAGCCATCTCCTTGGTCCCATAGCATTCTTTGGGTAGCCACGATTTGTGTAATGAATCATCACTTACAATTGGACACACAAACCCTGATCTCAGCACTACTCTGTGAAAAAAAAAAAAGCAGTCTGGCAAGCTGGGGGTGCTTCCTCTGTCGCCACAGAACAGGAATATCGTAGAAATGTGTAAGCTGGTTCCCCGGCACAACTTCTGGGTGTTTTGTCTGTTCCCCGCCTCCACTCTGAGATGCTGAGAGCAGGCAGCTGAGTCCTCGGGGAGGAGGGCTCTGAGGGGAAGGGGTGTGCCGGGCTTGTGATGCACTTGGCCGAGGAACTCAGAAAGTCTTGCTGACAACAGCCTCAGGGGGAATAGTGTGACCCAGGCAAAAGGCAATCAAAGGGTCAAGAGAGAAATCGCTGGGCTCTCCCCCCAAAAAGCGACTGGAGGCAATAAGAAGAATGGGGAAAACAGAAAATCCTAGACTTGAAATCACCCGAGAACACCGAGGTTCCTGCACAGATGGTTCTCGAGAGCAGCTCTTTGCCGTGAAGCCACATGGGGCAATCTGCGGGTCCCTCGCAAAGAAAGAGAGAAAAGCATCTTTTCAATTTCATTTGCCTAACAGTAAAACTGCCCCTTCCCATCTGACCCCCTGATCTGCTTCGGTTCTATTTCCGGATTGTAATTGAGAATTTGCTATCGTAGATGGCAAAACTACAAGGTACAAATTGATAGACACAGAGGGAAATTCCCAAATCACTCTTATTAGAGCGTATAGGTATAACTCTTTTCCTCCAGAGACGAGAAATTCAGCTCCCATTTTTCAAAGTGTTTAAAGACCACGAAATGCCGTCTAAATAGGCACAGAGGTATTTATTTTAGTGTTTCCATTTCTTCCTCAGAATTTTCTCTGGCACTCCGCACAGATATTATGAATGGGGAGCCAAGAGACCCACAAAACTCACGAAGCCTCTTGTTCTCCTGCCAGAGGATGAGGGTCCCCAGGAAGGCACCAGGGAACTTCCCTTTTCAGCCCACCAAGGCATCAGGACTCGGTTTGTACAAGCACACTCGCTCTTCATACTAAACTGCGGAGAAATCAACCATGATGCTAAGCTGTTCAGCAGAAATGAGCCTCAATAAATCCGCACTTCAAGCCTGGCTCTCACTTTGGGAGAAAGCGTAAATATAAACGGTAATAAAACGGTGTGATTGATCGTAAGAGACAAAACCGGCACCACCCACAGACCTCCAAGGCTGTGAACCAGCTACCAATAACGCAAACGCCCCTCCTGGGAGACGGGAAGAAACAGACTCGGCGCGTATTGACTGCGGGCGTGTTTTATAAATGGGTTCCTTTGCCCACAGTTACATCGACACATCGTAGATATTTAGCATCAGCTTCTCAGGAAAAGCGATGCTTCTCAACACTGGCTCCCATCCTATCAAACTACTATCAGACTCAAGCATTTTTCGTCAGAACCGCGTTTATTAGTAACGAACTAGGTCCATGCATGAGAAGCCCAGGCAAACTCTTACTCCATCCTTCTAGACATTCACTCAACCAGTATTTACTGAGTGTCCACCAGTGCCAAGCAGTATTCCAGGTGCTGTGGGTCACTAAAAAATAATAATGACCCTTCTCCTCCGCCTCCTCCTCCTTCTCCTTCTCCTCCTCCTCCTCTTCCTCCTCCTCCTCCTCCTCCCTGCTTTCACGGAGCTTACTCTAGTTAGAGAGACAGCTGATGACAGATGACAGAGTTAAGTAGTTAGGTATTTACTGTGGGAAAAGAGATTCGGCCAGGAGACGGGGAGGGATGGGGGTACTATGGGATACAGGTGAGGGAGGGAGGGAACCTGCTCCTGGGGGGAGGAATAGAGAACACGCTTCCTAACTTAGGTACTACTACGAAACACGTGAGTGTGGGAATTGAGCAGCTTTTAGGAAAGCTAATTTCAATGATCTGGAGAGTCGTGGAAAACATTCAAATGTTTCCCAGCACCACAGGGCCTGAGAACTGAACGGTGGGCCCACTTGGCCAAGTATGGTTGAAAGTGGCTGCCAGTTCCGCTGAGCACTGCTTGGGAGGCTCCAAAAATTAAAAATATAATAAAAACTTCCCGGGGCATCCCAAGGATCTAGCTAGTTACACTGCTCCCAGGCATTTACCGAAAGAAATAGAAATATCAGACGCGGTGCTCAGGGGACCACATGGGATGCTGGGACTCCAACCCGGGTTGGGCGCGTGCAAGGCAAACACCCTACCCACTGTGCTATCGCTCCAGCCCCCTAATGGTTGGATCAGTTTTGGTTGTCATTCCTTTGGCGTACAAGCCACCATACTGGAGAGCCACTCAGATACGTCCATAGCAAAGTGCATGGCTAAAAAGGAGGTGCAGGCTGCAACAGTGGTGAGTGGGAATGTGTGAGAGGAGTAACTGTGAGGCTCTGTATTGGGGTGCAGTTCGCAGGGGTGGCTGAGGATGAAAACCACTGACTGCCGTGGCTGCTAGGATGATTACTCAAGTTTCCTGTGCCACACTCCAAGACTTCCTGAGGGCCATGGTACACAGGCCCTGGACCTCAGGGCCCCCGTCCCCCAGCTCCCCAAGTACTGAGAAAATATGACCTAAGTCTTGTGAAAATGCACCAAGACAGTGAAGGATTACTCATATCAAAATTTACTAAGAAAACGCGGAATATCCCACCCACCCCCTCAATCAAATGCAATTTGGAAAAGAAAGTTCTTAGCACCAAAGAAGTTCATTAGAATTTAGTATTTTCTTGCTCTCTCAGAACCCACTCCACGCACAAAGGAATTTCAAAATTAAGTTGGCTATGTGACATCTTAAAAGTTTATACCTCAGATTTTTTTTTTTCAAATCATTACTGAGTTTTTAAGGTTGACACAAGCACCGGGACAGTTCTAAAGCAATTTCTTTTTCTTTCTTTCTTTTTTTTTTTTTTTAAAAAAAGAACACCATCCAATTGGGATCAAAAGCTATTCTCATTATAGTAGCTGCATTGCTCATTTTACTGTGACCTGAAGCTCAAAGCTTCATAAAACCATAAAACCCTTGTTTTCTTGTATAAAAAAAATGCTTTTAAAAAAGAAAATGCCTAGAAGAGTCTTCTAATAGCCACTTGGTAGGGAAATAATTTCTAGTAAAACATCCTGTTACAGTGGCACTCCAATCTAAGGGGACCTGATTTTTCCTCAACAGTGATGCAAACTGCCACAATATGAGAAGTTTTTAAGTGATTCTGAATTCACACTACCTTCCGGAGACCCTCAACCAAACAACTGACTCTCAATGACTCAGCAACACTGAGCAATATTTAGACTTGCAAAGTGACACTTCCGGAAGGGCGGGGTCTTGCCCTGGGTCTTGTCTTACTTGGCCTCTACTGGATTAGAATTCATTCCACTGGCGGACTTGGGAACTGTGTACTTTCCACTAGCGCCAATGTGATCACGGGTAAGAAACAGAAACCCTTTCAGATACCAACATCACCTGTTACTACTTTGTGGAACCGGGAGATTTTGTATTGAAAAACTTATTTTAATACGTTTGAGTATCCACACCTGGCCATAGAAGTACATATGCATATTTTACTGCAAATATGAACTCAAACATTTTTGGAAAACTATAATTTTTTAAAAAAAAAACTAGTGGAAATTTCTCTTTTCCGTGTGACTGCTTCTTTTATATTTGCTAAAAAAATCTTTAACTCAAGTAGAAAAAAAATTGGTAACTAAGGCCCAGAGGAGTTTTCTGACTAAATTATTAAGAAGTTGAAAACTTACATAGATATATTATTTATGTAAATATACATGAGAATCTAAGCTGATGTATATATTAAAATATATTATATATAAGACACAGATGTATAACATATGAAGTATGGATATATAAATACAAGTGCATAACACATACAACCTTCATTTGTTAAAATTTGGAAATCATATGTTCATAGGACAGCTTTGGTCCCCTCTATCTATTTTCTCTCTGGGTCAAACACCTACCTTTTTTGTGTGCATGTATGACAGTCTTGCATGGGACAAAATCTCCAGAAAGTAGCAGACTAGGGAACTCCCCACCACCACCACCACCATTGGACAAATTCTGGGCCAGTACTTCAATTCTAGGACACTAACTCTCCTTTGCAAGGTGACCAGCCACTGACACGTGGAAACAGCTTGACTACTCTCAAACCCACCCCCAAAGCCAACCTGATAAAAAAAACAAAACGAGCACAGCACCTCAGCCAGCTTTGAATAAGAGAAGCATCTGAAACAGTTCCACTCCTCGGCTTTTGGAGAGGCAGGAAAAAAAAATTCATCTCAAATCAAAAATTTCACATTGGGAAAAGTTAGATGGAAATTCGGATCTCTCATCCTCAAGCAGGAGGATTTTATCCACCCCACTCCCCCCATCCACCAACCTCAAAGGTTTGTACCCGTCCTGCTTCAAGAGGCTGCTCTAACTGGGAACCGATTTAACTGTACCAGGAGCAAGGGCGTTCCGACAGCAAAGAATCTCTCTATTCCACTCTTTTATTCCAGAAGGAGATAATGAGCAGCACCCCACAGAAGCAGAGAGAAAGGCGAGTCCCTGGCAAATAAAAACAGAACCTCTCCCCTAAAAAAAGAAATTAATTGGATGATCACCTAGAGCTCATGCTAATACCCCTTCATCACCCTGGTTCCGTTACAGCCGATGATTCATGAGTCCTCACAAGGCAAGCCAGGACAGATGTGGCGCTTGTTAACTTACAACATTCACTGTGAGCCGTTCGCAGGAAGCTCCGGCCTGTCCTTCACCATGGAGACTTCCCACAAGAAGCCGCAGTGCTCCTGAGCTCAGACGCCTTCTCGCCACCTCTCACGGTGCAGTGACAACACCTAGCAAGGGAACAGGACAGAAGCAAAAGGGAGAGATCAATGCACCAGCAAATTCTTCATTGGTTACTCATAGCCGCGGGGGGGGGGGGGGGTTAGACCCCTGGATGTGGTGCTCTCTTTCTAAAAAAAAAATTTTTTTTCAATATTTTTGCTCTTGCTGCAGTAGACACAGCATGGCACAGAAGGCCTCACTTCTCCTGCCAGTCCCCACCTCCACATACACACCCACCCTAGACAGTCTCCCCACCTTGCAGCCAATCCCAGGATACTTCAGACACAACCCAGAGAAGATGCAAATTTGCAACACAGACTCAACATGTGCCACTTGACTCTCCACTCTGCGAAAGAGCCAACAGTATCTATCAACAGCATTGTTAGTGGTCAGAACCTGTTGGTAAGCCCGGAGCCAGCACACAAGCTGACCCTGGCTGGGCACCAACAATCTACCAGTCCCCGGGTACGCAAAGGTCCAAGGGCCTGAATGGGTCTCTGAGCTCCAACTTCCTTTCCACTGAGGGGTCCAGGGAAGCAGAAGGCCAGAACGGGAGATGTCTGGACTCTCTGGAAGCAAGCCAAGGAAGGCCTGGAGCAGGGATGGGAGAGGGAGAGGCGTGTGCAGGCGCATCGCTACTTGGTCCCTGTACACCGCTTCCCAGACTGCTGGTTTGCAGAGCTGAGTGCACGACTGTTCGTGGAACTGTGAAAATTTCTCCTTGGCTGTGTGCCATTTCTGCTTACCGGGGCTGATGCTCACACACACACACACACACACACACACACACACGGACACACACACACACATCCACATTGCAGGACTGGATCATTTTTGTTGCCTTTAAAGAAAGGGCCCATTCATCTATTCATCACTCAATGGTTAAAATTTCCACACCTTGATTTTGGGATTTCCCTCACCACCCCCCTCCCCAAGCCCCACTGCCAAATGTTCTCTAACACAGAATTCACCTTTTCCTGGGTCAACAATAGCAGCTTATTTTGACTTTGGTGGCCTTGAAGAGCATCCCTGAGCACCACCACTTGGTAGGGAGGCAGGAGGGGGTGTTTTGGAGTCACAAAGACACAACTGAAGAGCCAGGCTAGACTTTTGTTGCTTCCCAAATCAAGTATCCCTGGTCTTTCTCCCAGTTTCAAAGTAAAAAACCGAACCCAAGATGGGAAGCAGCAGTATTAGCACTGGGGAGAGAGAAAAGTTTTCAAGAAGCTAATGCGATCCCTAATTGCAAAAAAGAGGAAAGAATTAAAACTATCAACCTTGGGATGTAAAAACTGGTAAAATAAGTTCCTCAATAGGAAGAACTGCAAACGGAGTAGATAAAGGAAGACAGAAGGGAGAAGGGAGGTATGGAGTGCCAAGAGGATGTAACCGCGGCTCTCGGGCCGAACAGTTTACAGAGTGAGGAGTCAACTCATTTCACTGGACAGTGTTGTCCCGGGCGCTGCTGCCCTACTGCACCCACCTGGTGTGGGACTCACAATGCCTGACAAACAGGATCCAACAGCCTTAAGAGCCACAGCCAAGAACCAGAGGGCCAGGCGGTGGCTCAGTGACACAACACCAGTCTTATGTGTGGGAGCTTTGGGTTTTACCTTGTAGGAATTGACTTTGAAAAGCAAATATTTCAGGGAGTATGGAGGATAAAGTGACACTTTGGGCAGCACAATGGTGAGAATGCACACCTTGCACACTCCAACCTGGTTGGATCCTGGTGTCACCTGACCTCCATCCCTGTAGGACAGACAGTCCTCTGGGCCCCTTGCACTTAAACTGTCAGCCCAACTGGCCAAGAATCACCAGGAGGGGAGTGACCCCCTCTGCTTCCAGAGTACCAAACACTTTGATCTGCAAATACCCTGGGGTATAGGGGTGAGGGGTGCGGGATTTATTTAGGAAGAAAGACTTGGGAAGGCTTTTTATTAAAGCAGGGAAGCAAAAGATGAGCAGGAGTTAGCCAAGCAGCAAACAAACAGTCTTGCTTTGGGTGATCTGATTAGCGACACTCATTTCTGTTACAGCATTCCCCCTATGCCTAGTCGTTTCAAATGCATGTCAGGTCAAGAAAGAAACAATAGGGGCTGGAAAGATAGCACAGTGGGTAGAGTGCTTGCCTTGTAGGTTGCCAACCGGGGTTCGATCCCCAGTCCCTCACCCCCCCAACCCCCGACATATGGTCTCCTGAGTATTGTCAGGAGTGATTCCTGAGTACTGCTAGTACCAGCCTAGACTGACTTACTGCAGTGATGGTTTCATTGACTCCCAGGTGGTCTATCTGGCACTCATACAATGGTATGTCAGTTGCTGAGAGCTCAGTAACTGAAAAGAAACAAGCACTAGAATTGCTCTTAATACTCTCAGAATAGATTAGTACTCCGCCCAATACAACACACAGTAGTGACTTCTGCCAGAAGAGCATCACAAGGTGCAGGCATTAAACTGAGGGCAGAGAGACACGAGTTCCAGGAGTCTCAAGGCACAGGGTGACGAAGGAAGAGCTCAGAGCACACCTGCACGCCACAGCTGGTATTCAGAAATTCCTCCCCCCAAGGGAGAGCACAAATCACACAAGCATACACTTCGGCAAAACCCTGTCTTAGCACCTCGTATTTGACTTCTGCCAACTGCTTCTTGACTATTACGATGGGATTATTATTTCTCTTCTGGTCTATAGGCACATGGATGCCCCTTGAATTCCATTCTATAAGCCCACACCCTCGATCATGGTGGATTATCTATTTATTTAGCCTGATCAAGAAAAACAAACAAACAATGGCACTATTGAGTTTATCTCAAGTGCTTCCTTGTTCCTTATTATCCCAGATCTGGTACAACTTAATTCTACAAAAAGAAAGCAGTCATTTGCATTTTTAATTTTTTTAATTAAAAAAATTTAAATTAGAGTCATAGTCAATGGGGCTGTGGGGAGCACAGGGCTTCTTCTGGCAGTACAAGGATGGTGCTTTGGCCCAGCCGAGTCCAGTGATGTAGATGGGGCAGGGGGAGGTGAGGTTGTGAAATTATTTTTTTTGCAGGGGGGGCACCCTTGGCTGTGCTCAGGGGACCGTGTGGTTCCAGGAACTGAACCTAGGCAAAGCTACACCCTCGCCCTCTGAGCAATCTCCCTGGCCTGTAATTTGCATTCTTTATCCTACAAAATGAAAGCATCCTCATACAGGCTTATTCATGTTCCTCCCCTGAACACCTGTGCTTGAAAGTTCATTCGACACATAGCAGTCATACTTCTGTTTGACACTCTTTTCATTCCAGACACCCAGGACAAAACGTATTTTCACCTACAAGTTACTCATCTACTCAAATAATGAATAATACTATACACCGAGCACTCCGAGACTCTAATGTAAATCCTTATTTTTGACTTAATAATTTTACCATCTACGTCCTCCATCCCCTGACTCAGTGGCACCCCCACCCCTACAGAAATCCCTCCCCCCCAAGGGAGAGCACAAATCACACAAGCATACACTTCGGCAAAATCCTGTCTTAGCACCTCGTATTTGACTTCTGCCAACTGCCACACTGACCTGTCTCCTTTTTGATTCAGCAACACCCCCCCACACACATACCTTTGCTGTCCTTTAAAAATTTTAATTATATCATCATGAATTACAGAGTTATTCATAATTGAATTCCAAGCTGACAATGTTCTAACACCAAGCCAATGTTCCCTTCCCTCAACCAATGTCCCAAGTTTCCCTCCTGTCCTTTTAAATTTATTTTTATTTAGAACCCTCATCCTCTGGTGCTCAGGGGCTACTGTAGTGCAGTGCTCAGATTTCCATATGGTGGACATGGACATCCCCATGGGACACAGGTAAAGCCCACAGTGCAGCCTGCTGAGCTATGGCTCGGCCAAGATAAAATATCTCTCCTATGTAACGTCCTTTTTATATACCACTGGATTTATTTAAGTCTTGAAGGCTCTCTCTCTCTCTCTCTCTCTCTATATATATATATATATATATATATATATATATATATATACACATATATATACTCCTCAACGAAGGAAACCTTGCCTTGGCCTGTGCTGTAACATTAGTGTCTAGTAAAAGAGTCTGAAATGAAACGATCCATAGCTGAAAACCTGTTCTCTGACTTACATAGCCCTGACTCCAAAGGGATCCCTACTCAAAAGCTATAAATCTAAGCCCTTCTCAAATGTTCCTTATCCTCTGGGAACTGTGAGCTCCGGTGATGTCTATCAACCGTGTGAAGGCCTGGCATGAATGATTAACTTCTAACTCTGCCTCTTTCTTCTGTTCTCCCAGTTCACTACATTTTCGGCATGAGTGGTTTTGAATGCTTGCTATCTCCTTTCTAGTTGTTCAACTTCCTCCTTCATCCACTCTTCATCAGGAGTCTCACGTCACACAGTCTGCAGAGGGCCACTCTGGAAGAACACCCATGGTAGGTGGACAGAAGACACAGAGCCAGAGGCAGTGACTTTCAAACTTGAACTTGGAGGTTCTGTTGAACCATAGGGGGCTGGATTCCATCTGGCAGGGCTAACACGTTCCCAGGTGCTACTGAGCATGAGGACTGTGTGCTCAAAAGGAAAGGTTAGACTAGAGAGATAGTACAGACAGATTAAGGCACTTGCCTTGCAGACAACTGGCCTGGGTTCTATCCCAGACATCCCACATGGTTCTCTGAGCTCCACCAGGAGTGATTCTTTTCTTTTCTTTCTTTCTTTCTTTTTTTTTTTTTTTTGCTTTTTGGATCACACCTGGAGATGCACAGGGGTTACTCTTGGTTTTGCACTCAGGAATTACTGCTGGTGGTGCTTGAAGGGCCATATGGGATGCTGGGAATCGAACCTAGGTCAGCCATGTTCAAGGCAAACATCCTTACCGGCTGTATGTACTATTGCTCCAGCCCCCAGGAGTGATCCTTGAACACCACTCTTTATAGCCCCAAAATGAAAATAAAATACAAATATTTGAAAATAGAGCTAAGTCTGACAGTC